AATTTTTCAAAAAAAATCAGGGTTATAGATCTTGATGTGCTGCTTCCAAAAATATAGCGTGTTTAGGGTTACGGAGCAATATTTTAAGAATATTCGGTGTCAAATTCGAATTTTTTGGAATTCTTCTGGAGTTATCCAAGAAATGAGGCAGGAAGTGACTTCTGCGACCCGAAATCCACAAAAAATATATTTAGTTAAATTTCGAAAATCGTCGAAAATGGGTCGAAATTTGCTTAACGTACTTGCTGAGATAAGACTGGTTTTGGCAAATGACATATTCTCTAAGAAAAGAGAGGGTGGGTGGGTGGGGCTAGTACCTGATAGGATAAGAGTGATTTTGGCAAATGAGATACCTTCTAAGAAAACAGAGGGCGGGTGGGCGGGGCTAGTATTTACTAAGATAAGACTGATTTTGGCAAATGACATACCTTGTAAGAAAATCGGGAGCTGGTGGGCGGGGCTAATCTTTGCTAAGATAAGAGTGATTTTGGCGAATAGAATACCTTCTAAGAAAATAAAAGGCGGGTGGGCGAGGTTGGAATTTGCCAAGATAAGACCGAATAATATTCCACGTCAAAAGTGACCCCGCCCACCCACCCCTATTCTGTTTTGCTCACTTATTTTATTGGCTCTGAAACAGAAGTTGGATTCCTATTGATTGCTTATAAAATTAAAAGGAACTGATAAATTGATAGTTAACACAACCAGCAAAACTCGAACTGGGGATCAAGGTACAATTTGATGTAATAATCTTGTACAGACTGGGGCGGATTGGACCTACTGAAATTTTACTTCATTTGAAAGTACCTATGTAAAATTTGGATTAGGACATTGTTTTGAAATTTTTTAAAATTTGGATATTTCAATGAGCGATTCTGCAAAACCGGTTGGAGGTATTGAAGAAATGAGGCCGGAAGTGACTTATGCGGCCCGAAATCCACAAGAAAAAGTTTTTAGTTAATTTTCGAAAATCGTCGAAAATGGGTCGAAATTTGGACAGGGTACCTGTTAAGATAAGACTGATTTTCGCAAATGACATATCCTCTAAGAAAAGAGAGGGTGGGTGGGCGGGGCTAGTACCTGCTAAGAAAGACTGATTTTGGCACATGAAATCCTTATAAGAAAGTAGAGGGCGGGTGGGCGGGTTTTAGTACCTGCTAAGATAAAACTGATTTTCGCAAATGACACCCTATAGAAAATGAAGAGTAGAGGGTATATCATTTGGCAAAATCAGTCTTACCTGGGCAAGTAGTAGCCCCGCCCACCCGCCCTTTATTTTCTTAGAGGATATACCATTTGCCAAAATCAGTCTTATCTTACCAAGTACCTTATGCAAATTTCGACCTACTTTCGATGATTTTCGAAATTTAATTAAATACATTTTCTTCTAGATTTTGGGCCGCATAGTTTGAAAGAATCACGGGAACTTCTTGTGTTCGTTTTTCAAGTAGTTTGAAAGAATCTCGAAGACACCTTATGTTTTGAGTTTGAAATATGTCGTTAGAAAAAACCTCGAGGATCCTCTGTGGGTCCCATTCGAAAGAATCTTGGGAATCTCTTGTTTTGTTTTTGAAGTAATTTGAAAGAATCTCGGGGATCCCCTTGCGTTTTGTTCTTGAAAACTGGAAAATTTCATTTTTGAAAAAGTCGTCTGAAAATTGTCAAAAAATTCAGAGTCATAGATCTTCACGTGCTGATGTCAAAAATATAGGGATTTACGGTCACATAGCAACAATTTTGAAATATTCGGAGTGAAAATGCGATTCTGGAAAAACCATTGGAGAAATGAGACTGTAAGTGACTTCTGTCGCCCGAAATCCACAAAATAATGTACTTCGTTAAATTTCAAAAATCGTCGAAAATGTGTGGAAATTGGCACAGTGGAAAATTTCATTTTTGAAAAAGTCGTCTAAAAACTATGTAGCGCGTTTAGGATCGCGGAGCAATATTTTCGAAATATTCGGAGTGAAATTGGAACTTTCGGAAATTTTTAAAAATTGCGATATTTCAATGGACAATTCTGGAAAAACGGTTGGAGGTATCGAAGTAATGAGGCCGTAAGTAATTTCTGTGACCCGAAATCTACAAGAACATGTATTTAGATAAATTTCGAAAATTGTCGAAAATGGGTCAAAATTTGCATAAGGTACTTGGTGAGATAAGACTGCTTTTGGCAAATGACATATCATCTAAGAAAAGAGAGGGTGGGTGGGCGGGGCTAGTACCTGCTAAGATAAGAGTGATTTTGGCAAATGAGATACCTTCTAAGAAAACAGAGGGCGGGTGGGTGGGGCTAGTACTTGCAACGACAGAGGGCGGGTGGGTGGGGCTAGTACTTTCAACGATAAGACTGAACAATATTAAGAGTATTAAATGGAATGAAATAGAGGTGGGCGGGGCTATTGCTTGCTTATAAAAGACTGTACGAAAAAGGGGCTTTTTTCACAGCCTTATTTCTATCAATTACCACTCCCACTCTACAGAAGAACGTTTAATAATCCCCACCCACCCACCTCTATTTCGGTGATTAATTTTATTAAAAAAAAATGCACTACCAAAATTTATTGCAGTAGAAAGAAGACGAAATTTATTGTTTAAAAGAAAAAAATAACAATTAATTAACTTAGAGAATTTAAAAATTAATGACAAACTGTCCAAAATTTAACGTAAAATCCAATTTTCGTCCAATAAAATTAGCAAGAAAAACGAAAACGGGGTGGGTGGGCGTTTCCACTTTGAAGCTTTTTTTTAATTCGATTGGACCGTTTGCCAAAATAGAAGCCAACTTTTATTTCACAATAAATGAAATAAGCGAATGAAATTCAGAAGCGAGGAGGGTGGGGTCAGTTTTACCTTTTTGGTCTACATTCCACTGTCTATTAATGTAAAATCCACTTTTCGACCAATAAAATAAGTGATCAAAAGGAGAACTGGGTGGGTGGGCGGGGCCACTTTGAAGTTTTTTTTTAAATTAAATTTGATGACTTGCCAAAATATAATTCAATTTTCATATCACGCTAAAAAAAATAAACCTATGAAATTCAAAAGTGGAGGTGGGTGGAGAGTCTTACATTTTTTTATTTTGTCTAAATTCCACTGTTTATGTAATAAAATCCATTTTTCTCAGAAGAAATAAGTGATCAAAAATATAAATTGGTCGAAGGGTATACATAGTAAATTTCATTTTTGAAAAGGTCGTCTAAAAATTCTGAAAAAATTCAGGGTTATAGATCTTAATGTGCTGATTCCAAAAATATAGCGTGTTTAGGGTTAAAGAGCAATATTTTCGAAGTAAGTATTCGGTATCAAATTTGAATTTTTTGGAATTCTTCTGGAGTTATCGAAGAAATGAGGCAGGAAGTGACTTTTGCGACCCGAAATCCACAAAAAATGTATTTAGATAAATTTCGAAAATTGTCGAAAATGGGCCAAAATTTGCATAAGGTACTTGGTGAGATAAGACTGTTTTTGGCAAATGACATCATCTAAGGAAAGAGAGGGTGGGTGGGCGGGGCTAGTATTTACTAAGATAAGACTGATTTTGGCAAATGACACACCCTATAGAGAATGAAGAGTAGAGGGTATATCATTTAGCTAAATCAGTCTTACCTGGGCAAGTAGTAGCCCCGCCCACCCGCCCTTTATTTTCTTAGAGGATATATCATTTGCCAAATTCAGTCTATCGTAGCAAGTGCTAGCCCCGCCCACCCGCCCTTTATTTTCTTAGGGGATATATCATTTGCCAAAATCAGTCTTATCTTACCAAGTACCTTATGCAAATTTCGACCTACTTTCGATGATTTTCTAAATTTAACTAAATACATTTTCTTCTAGATTTTGGGCCGCATAGTTTGAAAGAATCACGGGAACTTCTTGTGTTTGTTTTTGAAGTAGTTTAAAAGAATCTCGGGGATCCCCTTGTGTTTTGTTCTTGAAAACTGGAAAATTTCATTTTTGAAAAAGTCGTCTGAAAACTGTCAAAAAATTCAGAGTCATAGACCTTCACGTGCTGATTTCAAAAATATAGCGTGTTTACGGTCACATAGCAACAATTTTGAAATATTCGGAGGGAAAATCCAATTTTTGGAAATTTTAAAAAATGCGATACTTCAATGGGCGATTCTGGAAAAACCATTGGAGAAATGAGACTGTAAGTGACTTCTGTCGCCCGAACTAAACAAAATAATGTATTTAGTTAAATTTCAAAAATCGTCGAAAATGTGTCGAAATTGGCACAGTGGAAAATTTCATTTTTGAAAAAGTCGTCTAAAAATTCTGAAAAAATTTAGGCTTATAGATTTCGACGTTCTGATTCCAAAAATATAGCGTATTTATGGTAACAACGGAGCAATAATTAGGAAACATAATTTCTTTTCGTAAACAACTTATTACCAACTCGTTACGTGTCAAGTTCCAGCAACCTACTTATCAATACCTGAACTGCTGTGAATGCACTTTAAATAAGTCCAACCTGCTACAAAAATCAATTCGCTCGTTCCATTAACTCGCTGCCACTTCGCAACGACCAAGTACTTTTCCAGTGTGCGAGGTCAAGAAACCCGACTCAAAATAGATAACTCGTTTTTATGCAACAACGAGGAAATGCCACCTTGTTCCCGTCTGAAAACTCGCCCCCAGCCCGCTCATTCACCCCCAATTTCCGCCACGTCTTCTCGACTCATCAACTCTGTAATTGAACGCGGACCTTGAACTTGCCTCCGAACAACAAATATTGTCTCGGGAGTCCTTGCAAGGCCACTCTCACTCGCGTTCATTCAAATTTCGTTGCGTAAGCTCGATATGCGGAATAAACAAGCGAACCGTTACGTGAATCCAGCGTAATTTTCCACGACCAGATTGAAAAATAACGAAAAAATGTCCTAATCGCACAGGAGTTCAATGCATAGTGGTGGGTGCAAGTGCGGGGCCTTGCGACACCCATGCGCGTTATCTGATATTTCAAGCGACAACCAGTTCAGTCCGTGGTAATCAGTGGCGAAATGACGCATGAGGTGCAACCCAATGGGTACAAACCCTTCGTGATTGACGTGGAGGAGGCGAAATTGGAAAAAACGCACGAAGAAGTGGTGGAAGCGGCGAGGAAAAGTTTCAAGAGTGGGAAAACTAAACCCTTGAAGTTCAGACTGGAGCAACTAAAGGGGTTGGAAAAATTTTTGACTGAGTGCGAAAATGAATTGGTGAAGGCGCTAGACCAGGACCTGGGGAAGCACCGCCAGGAGGTGCTAATGACAGAGATTGACTTGCTGAAGCACGAGTTACGTCAAACCGCGATGGAGCTGTCGAAGTGGCTCAAACCGGAAGCACCTCCAAAGAGTTGGGTGAACTTTTTAGACGGGGTGCTGGTATATAGTGACCCCTATGGAGTCGTGTTGGTGATAGGAGCCTGGAACTACCCCCTCTTGTTGTTACTAGGACCCTTCATAGGTAAGTAACGTGGTGGAACATCACCACCACCAAGTCACACTTTCGGTTTGGTTTGATTACTCCAGGTGCTATCGCTGGTGGCAACTGCGTCATCCTCAAACCCTCAGAACTGGCGCCAGCTTCTGCCAAAACCATCGCCACGTATCTCCCCCGCTACCTCGACCGTGACTCCTACCAAGTGGTCTGTGGAGGCGTCCAAGAAACCACCCACCTTCTCAAAATCCAGTTCGACTATATCTTCTTCACAGGGTCCACTTCCGTGGGGAAAATCGTTCACCAAGCCGCGTCAAAATTTTTGACTCCCGTTACGCTCGAACTGGGGGGTAAAAGTCCGGTGTTTGTGGACGACACAGTGGACATCGTCACCACAGCGCGACGCATCCTCTGGGGGAAGTGTTTGAACGCCGGGCAGACCTGCATCGCCCCCGACTACCTCCTCTGTTCCAAAAACGTAGAGGAGAGGTTCATCGAAGCTGCGAAAACCATCCTAGACGAGTTCTACGGAGAGGGCGTCAAAGTGTCTCCTTACTGGAGCAAGATTGTGTCCGAGCGCCACTACAAGCGTCTCATGGGGATGGTGTCCGACGGCGAGGTGGCCATCGGAGGGTTTGGGGACCCGATGGAACGCACCATCACTCCTACCATCCTGATTAACGTTAAACCAGACGACTTGGTAATGAGGGAGGAAATTTTCGGGCCCATTTTACCCATAATCAACGTAAATTCGGCCCTAGAAGCTATCAATTTTATCACTGAGGGTGATAAACCTCTAGCTTTGTATGTCTTTACGAAGAGGAAGGACGTGAAGGATTTGTTCTTGAATGGGACGTCGAGTGGGAATGTAACCATCAACGACACCATCATGCACATTATGACTGAAAATTTACCCTTCGGAGGGGTGGGGGCGAGCGGCATGGGTAACTACCATGGTAAATACGGGTTTGATACCTTCACCCATAAGAAAGGGGTTTTGGTTAGGGGGTTGGGTGCTCTGACTGAGAAGCCCCAATTTATCAGATACCCACCCTACTCTGATTTTAAAACCACCCTTTCGAGTATTGTTACAGCTAAACGAAGATCTATTCCGGGTTGGTGGTTCAAGTGGATTTTGGTTTTTGGGTTGGGGGTGGCTTTTGCCTATGGTGTCCAGTGGGTGCGGAATGGGTAACCACTTTGTCACATTCATAGCTGCATAGTCACGACTTCTTAGGAAACTGTGTTCACGTTGCAACCGTAGTTACAGATTGATATATAAATAAGACTGTGATGATCTAATCTGTGCGTGTTTTAATAAATTATTTTTGTTGCACTGAGTGTTACTTTCTTCGAGAACCGGTTGTTTGGAAAGGAGGAAATCTGGTCTATGTTGCGTAATGAGAGGGACTACAGTTGTGTCAGATTTTTCCAACCTAACAATCTCGCGGTTGAATATTCAGCCACAAGTCAAACAGCAATTACGCCAATTAAACAAAATCTCGTTTCGAGTTACTTGATCAAAAGCTCCACATTCGGTAAACAAGCCATGTTAGTCGGTAAACACTACGTGAAGTTGTTTGCTGGCTTGTGGAATTAATACTCGTATTGAAAGGCTTTTCCAGGAATGAAATTATTTTGAAAGCGTATTTTCGAGCTGTCAAGATCCAGGTTAAACGATTATTTATGTTCGAAGTGGGTTTACGACGTGTATTTGGGGGGTAACAGGTCCAAAGTCAATAATTGAAAGAATCGAGTGTTGGGTTTGTGCTCATACTCGGTTCACTGAAAATTATTTAAAACAGTTATTCGGCTTTTTCTAAGTGTTTATTTCATATATAAGGGACAAACACTAAAATTTCACTTAAAAAAAAAATAATGAAAGGACGTATAAATTCGTACGAAAGATTTCCCATATTTTTCCCCAATCTGCCCTAATAAGTTTTTCACAATGTTTACAAAAATTTTGCCACATGCTTGGAGTACATTTAGAAAGCGCCTCAAGCCACAAATTCTCCACCCTATTTTTTAACGAAGGTTAACAATTTATATGCTTGTTGTAATAGTTCTTACAAAATCCCCACGCCATTTCAGTTGGATTATATTGACAATGGTACGGAGATAATCTAAGAACTTCCTCTTCGTCTACCAAATATCTTTTTTTTCTATTGTTTCTGAAGGGTGTAATTAAGCTAACACTTGTTACGATAAGACTGATTTTGGCAAATCACATACCCTCTAAGAATGAGAGGGTGGATGGGCGGGGCTAGTATTTGATAAGATGAAACTGATTTTGGCAACTTTGGCATTTCGACCATTTTTTAAAACTATTTCCGAAAACAATTTTTTGTAGATTTCGACATCCAAAAGTCATTTTCGGCGTCGTTTTCAAAAATCGACAATTGAAATATAGCAATTTTTACAGTTCCGTCAAAATCGCTCGGTATAAAATTTTTATGGATAAAAAAGTAAATTATTAATAATAATTTGTGTTTTACAAAATACAGTAGTTGTAAGAGTGTACTTTGTGGTTTTCATATATTCACAGAAATGTTTAAAATTTGTTTATTTGGGACAATGAAGAAGTCATAACAGGTCAGATCACGTTAGGTCAAGTCAGGTCGAGTGCATGAAATAAGTGATAAATTTTTTAACAAATAGCACAACAAAAATTAGTCCCGCCCACCCACCCTGTCTTCTTTCCAATCATTGATTTTATACGATTTGAATAAAAGTAGTAGTACTTATAAACAGAAATAAAATTAGTCGTTAGAATGAGAAGAGGGGGTGGGCGGGCGGGGCTAATATTTGCTAAGATAAGAGTGATTTTGGCACTTTTGACATATTCGACCAAACAAAGTTTGGATTAGTGCTTTTTTTTACTTTTTTCACATCGTAGATTCTATTAGTTGCCACTTCCACTCGACAAAAGAACATAATTAGCCCCGCCCACCCACCCGGCCTCTATTTCGGTGATTGGTTTTATCCGCTCCTAATGGATGGAATGATCTTATATTGAACAGAAATAAAATTAGTCGTTATAATGAGGAGAGGGGTGGGTGGGTGGGGCTAATATTTTCTAAGATAAGACAGATTTTGGCAGATGACAATCCTACAAGAAAATAGAGGGTGGGTGGCGGTGCTAGTATTTGACAAGATAAGACTGATTTTGGGATTTTTGACATATTCGACCAAAAAAAAGTTACGATTAGCGCTTTTTTTATTGTTTTTACATCCTAGATTCTATTAGTTGCCCCTCCTACTCGACAGAAGAACAAAATTAGCCCCGCCCACCCACCCTGTCGCCATTTCGGTGATTGGTTTTATCTGCTCTGAATAGATGGAATGATATACTGAACAGAAATAAAACTAGTCGTTAAATGAGGAGTGGGGGTGGGTGGGCGGGGCTAATATTTTCTAAGATAAGACAAATTTTGGCAGATGACAATCCTACAAGAAAATAAAGGGTGGGTGGGCGGGGCTAGTATTTCATTAGATAAGATGAATTTTGGGATTTTTAACATATTAGACCAAAAAAAAGTTACGATTAGCGCTTTTTTTACTGTTTTTACATCCTAGATTCTATTAGTTGCCCCTCCTACTTGACAGAAGAATAAAATTAGCCCCGCCCACCCACCCTGTCTCCATTTCGGTGATTGCTTTTATCCGCCCTGAATAGATGGAATGATCTTATACTGAACAGAAACAAAATTAGTCGTTAGAACTAGAAGAGGGGGTGGGCGGGCGGGGGTAATATTTGCTAAGGTAAGAGTGATTTTGGCACTTTTTACATATTCGACCAAACAAAGTTTGGATTAGTGCTTTTTTTTACTTTTTTCACATCGTAGATTCTATTAGTTGCCACTCCCACTCGACAAAAGAACATAATTAGCCCCGCCCACCCACCCGGCCTCTATTTCGGTGATTGGTTTTATCCGTTCCGAATGCACGGAATGATCTTATATTGAACAGAAATAAAATTAGTCGTTATAATGAGGAGAGGGGTGGGTGGGTGGGGCTAATATTTTCTAAGATAAGACAGATTTTGGCAAATGACATATTCTACAATAAAATAGAGGGTGGGTGGGCGGGGCTAGTTTTTGATAAGATAAAACTAATTTTGGCACTTGACATATTCGACCAAAAAAGAGTTACGTTTAGCGCTTTTTTTACTTTTTTTACATCTTAGATTCTATTAGTTTCCACACCCACTCGACAGAATAACAAAATTAGCCCCGCCCACCCACCCTGTCTCCATTTCGGTGATTGGTTTTATCCGTCCTGAATCGATGGAATCATCTTATACTGAACAGAAATAAAATTAGTCGTTAGAATGAGAAGAGGGGGTGGGTGGGTGGGGCTAATCTTTTCTAAGATAAGACAGATTTTGGCAAATGACATATTCTACAATAAAATAGAGGGTGGGCGGGCGGGGCTAGTTTTTGATAAGATAAGACTGATTTTGGCACTTGACATATTCGACCAAAAAAGAGTTACGATTAGCGTTTTTTTCACTTTATTCACACACTAGATTCTATTAGTTTCCACTCCTACTCGACAGAAGAACAAAATTAGCCCCGCCCACCCACCCTGTCTCCATTTCGGTAATTGGTTTTATCCGCTCTGAATAGATGGAATGATATACTGAACAGAAATAAAATTAGTCGTTAAATGAGAACTGGGGGTGGGTAGGTGGGGCTAATATTTGGCAAGATAAGACAGATTTTGGCAGATGACAATCCTACAAGAAAATAGAGGGTGGGTGGGCGGGGCTAGTATTTGACAAGATAAGACTGATTTTGGGATTTTTGACATATTCGACCAAAAAAAAGTTACGATTAGCGCTTTTTTTACTGTTTTTACATCCTAGAGTCTATTAGTTGCCCCTCCTACTTGACAGAAGAACAAAATTAGCCCCGCCCGCCCACCCTGTCTCCATTTCGGTGATTGGTTTTATCCGCTCTGAATAGATGGAATGATATACTGAACAGAAATAAAATTAGTCGTTAAATGAGAAGTGGGGGTGGGTGGGCAGGGCTAATATTTTCTAAGATAAGAGAGATTTTGGCAGATGACATATTCTATAATAAAATAGAGGGTGGGTGGGCGGGGCTAGTTTTTGATAAGATAAGACTGATTTTGGCCCTTGACATATTCGACCAAAAAAGAGTTACGATTAGCGTTTTTTTTTACTTTATTCACATCCTAGATTCTATTAGTTTCCACTCCTACTCGACAGAAGAACAAAATTAGCCCCGCCCACCCACCCTGTCTCGATTTCGGTGATTGCTTTTATCCGCCCTGAATAGATGGAATGATCTTATACTGAACAGAAATAAAATTAGTCGTTAGAACGAGAAGAGGGGGTGGGCGGGCGGGGCTAATATTTGATAACACAAGACTGGATTTTGGCACTTTCGACATATTCGACCAAAAAAAGTCACGATTAGCGCTTTTTTACTGTTTTTACATACTAGATTCTATTAGTTCCCACTCCTATTCGACTGAAGAACATAATTAGCCGTCCACCCACCCTGTCTTTATTTCAGTGATTAATTTTAACCGAACTGAATGTAATGAATGATATTATAGTGAGCAGAAATAAAATTAGTGTTTAGAATGATAAGGCTGGGGGTGTTCCCTAGAATATCCCAAAAGAGTATCTACAGTGAAATATTCGTTTTTTTTCATTAAGTTGCCAAATTTGTCGTTGCAGGTCTTTCCGAAACATATAATTTGTAAATAAATCCGTTGGTTTTCGCTTGCCAGGTAGTGATGTTTTTAAATTTTGGTCCCCTGTTGATAAAATTTTCGCCACAGTTGATGTTCCCACCTATGTATGAGAAACAAAATTAAAAAATATTTTACAGCGTATTTTTGCATTATAGAAAATATGTTCGAGACCCTCATGGTTACTTCTTCGAAAGACATATCGGAATAAGGTTACTTACTTTGTTTTGTCAAATTTCTAGTTATTTTATTTTTGTTAACGATGTCCATTGCATTACATGGATGTACTATGGGTTGCACACTTCAAAGCCTCGTTAATTTCTGAAAACTGCGAACACAACACAATTAACTTTTTTTTCGAGTTAAAATTACAGGTTAAATATGTTTATCGTCAGTTGAACTGACTAAAAAAAAGCACGTGTTGAATAGCTGTTTTGCACTTTAGGTAATTTATTTACGTCGGTAAATATTACTTGTAGGATTACTAATCTGATGAATACTTAAGAATGAAAGTTGAGTCAGCTTTCGTCAAGGTCAAGTGCAGTGGAAGATCCAGGTCTTTGACGTTACATTTACCAAAATTCATCCAAAGCGACGAAAAGTTCA